AATTAATCTCTCTATATCCACTTCCCTAAATCAGTATTTTCCCAGATTTTATCACATTGGATTCTGTATCACCCACACACACTGAACATGTATCTCGAATTTGTGGATGATTTATTACACAAAGCTACAATGGCATTATTTAGCTTCCCAAATTAATACTACCTTAATATCATCTAATATTGATTTAGAGAATGTGTAAGGGATTTAATCGAGTGCCCATGAGCACAGTAGTAAGAGGGGGTGAAGGGCGGGGGTAAATCCAATCTGGGGTATCAAATAAGACCAACTGAGAATGGGGATAAAAGCGAAGAAGTACAAAAGGCAGGCTCGGCTGTGACAAACAGCTGGCATGGTGGCCTGGCCAAGAGAAATCACCAGGCAGCCAGAGGAGGAGGGTTTGATGTGTCAGTCAGCAGAGGAGGAAGATGACAGAAACTGCTTCTTTGGTCTAGCTTGTTGGAACACCATCTCTGCACTAAAGTAAGGCAGAGTCTGTGTACCAGCTATGTCCAGCCTCCTAAAGTTTACACAGTTAACGTAGCAATAAAGAGGATGGAAAGCTTGTGTCTTTCATTCTCACATTTTAAGTAGTGTATCTGTATACTTAGCTTCTTAATCTCAACCATGTGAACAACTTAAATTTCAGGCATCTTCATGTGCTGTCTCATCTCCTTAAAACACAGTCTTCCAGTTAGACAAAAACACCCAAAAAGTACCAGGATGTGCATGGTGAAATCTCTCCTTATTCTCTTTTTTTTATGGCCAACAGAGTCTTCTTACCCATAATAAGATTTTTACAAATAAAATGGAAATCCAGAAATCTGCTTAATATTAAAAATTCCTAATCAACTTTTTCTCAGGCAGGAGAGAGTTGGTTCATTTGTGCTGATGTCTTCCTTCTGTTCCAATGGCATAAATTCTACCATCAGAAAAGTTAAAGAACAATGTGCAACTGAGATGAAGAGTCTTCTTGAATCACATAACCACAGTAGCAGAGCTTTGCTTGGAGTGGGGCTTGCTTTTGGGGACTGGACCAATTAGAGATGGACCATGGTGTCTTCCTCAATGTTCATTAAGTACTCTGTACATTTTGTGCAAAGGCCAAAGGTCCAAAGCTAAAAAGAAACATCTGGCAAGCAGTGTGTATCATCATCAAAATGAACTTTTGGTATGCAAACGTATCTGAAATTTTGTTTTTAAAGTCTGGTTGTTATGAACTTTGATTGGAAAACTTTTGATAGTAATTTTTAGTTTTTAAGTTCATGTATAATATTCTAAACATGATATAATGTATTTAAAAATAGAACATATGGGGCTAGAGAGATGGCTCAGCAGTTAAGAGCACTGGATGCAATTGCAGAAGACCCAGGTTAGAATCCCAGCACCTACATGGTGGCTAACAACCATCCATAACTCCAGTTCCAGAAAACCCAACACACTCCTCTGGCCTCTACAGACACTGCACACTCTGTGTGCACTTACATACATGCAGGCGTAACACTCATATGCATACAATAAATAAATAATGAATTAAAAATAAAATATCAAACAACCATTATAGGTTCTCAATAACATATAAAACCCAATTACTAGAACACTCAATTAAAAGATTCTAAGAATGAGATTATTTGAGCTCATTCATTTGGATCCTGGGGATCAAATTCAGGTCATCAAGTGTGGGAGCAGGCATCCTTACCCACTGAGCCACTTCATCAATCCTGCACTTTTAAAGAAAAAGAAAGTGTTTGCTAGTGGCTGGTGAATTGTTTTCAGCCCTGATATTCACATTTCAGGCATTAAATTTCAAATAGAGTTTTAAAAACCAATAATAACACCAAAAACCCCAGATATTCTTGGCCATCTGCTTCCCTAATATGATGATCTTTAAGGTGCTGTTCTTCTATATAGAAAATGAAAATCTGAAATTGAAATGAACACCTTTTTTGCAGTATTCTTGTGAACATTCTCATAGGTTTAGCTGGAAATAAAATGAGATTAGATGCCTTGCCTTTCCCCATAGTCTCCATCCCTCTCTTCATTATGTCTCCACCTGTATGTTTGACGTGAGAATGAACAATCTGTGGAAAATGTTACAACTGCATGTTCATTAAACAATTCTACTTAGTAGAATTATTGACTTAAGTGGTATATCTTTAAATGGCTTAAATATCTATATAGCTACAGTATTCCATTAATTTTTATTTTAAACTCGGTCTGTTTCTCTGAATAATTGTTTGAAAGTACTTATTTATAGACATGAAATTAGTTACCAAAGTATTTTCTTCATAATAATATGCATTCATGCTTCAGAATTTTAACATATCTATCACAAAAAGAAATTCACAATAACATGTAGAAAGTGACTTATATTTAAAAGTGAATATTGATAAATTAGCAATAAATCTGAGTGTTTTCTCACCACACACATGCACAGAGACGCAGACACACATACACACACACACACACACACACACACACACACACACACACACTAGGTGTTTGAATCTTTTTAAAATATCTTTTATTATTTTTATTTTATGTGTATGACTGTTTTAGAGACGCAGACACACATACACACACACACACACACACACACACAAAGAAATAATGTTATGTGAGGTGAGAGATCTGTTAACGTACTTGATGGATAGAATGATTTCACAGAGCAGTACCTATCACAGACATCACCTTGTATACTTTTAATGTCTGCACACTGCATGCTTCACTAGTGGTGGAAAGATCAAACAATGAGTTTAAGTTATAATATTTCTGCACTGCTTATATAGATACTGATTAGCAGCAGTGCCAACATCACTGTTCAGTCCCAACTTTAGGAACACCAGGACCATACAGCTATTTGCTTCTTCAGTTTTGCAAAGGTCAAAGCCAGCACTAAAGCCAAATGGATCATTCTAGGTGATTGCTGGGTCTAAAGCTCACTTTTATAATGTCTTCTACATTTATCAAACACAAAGTCAGGATGGATATAAAGGAGATAGATGCGCACAGGCTGTGAAAACCCAGAAACTGTAATCATTTGACCTGTTATACTCATTATTATTGTTATATGTGCCCTAATAGGTCTTTATGTTTCTGTTTTTTAAGCAATATATGAGACATATGTCAATAACAAAATAACAAAACCCAATTTGAAATTTCCTTTCTCCTGCTATGGGCAGCAAGAATTGCAAGTGTGGTAATAAGCAAAAGTAAAATTGCTGGTATCTGCCGGGGAAAGACTCATTTACAGAGTTGTAGTTTGACTTTGAAGATACTGGCATTATGCTGCTGGGCCTTGCAAAATCTCAAACCTAGCGTTTAGGAATAAGACTTCCTTCGTTGGTTTATTTCTTCAAGATATAATTATATGGGTCTGGAGAGATGGATCAGCATTAAGAGCACATACTGCTCTTTCAGAGACCCAAGTTCAGTTCCCAGAACCCATGTCAGGTGGCTCACAATCGCCTGCTACTCCAGTTCCCGGGGCTCTGATTCCCTCTTCTGGCCTCCACAGGCCAGATGCACAGACCTACACACACACACACACACACACACACACACACACACACACACATATAATTAAAAGTAAAACAACATCTTGGGGCTGAAGTGATGGCTCAGCAGTTAAGAGCACTGGATAGTCTTGCAAAGAACCTAGATTTGATTCCCAGCACCCACATGGTGGCTGGCAACTGTCCTTAACTCCACTTCCAGGGAAATCTGACACCCTCTTCTCTCCTCTGTGGGCATTGCACTAATCAAGTGCACTTATACACACTCATACACATAAGATAAAATCTTTAAAAAGCTATTATAAGAACGCAGACACATTTTATAAAGTCCTAAATGCTCCACAGTATCATCTGCAGAATTTGCCCATGATAGCCCCTGTCCATCACTATAGTGATCCAACTCTAACAAGCAGAGGGAATGGCGGAAGCAGTCCACAAAGTCTCCCCCACCATCATGGAAGACTGTCCTCAGCAACCTTTCTTTTACCTTCCTCTCATGACCCCATAGCACTCTCCAGACAAGCTACCTTTAAAATCCTCCTCTGGACTAGAATTGTATTAACTCAAAGGACCAAACAGTTCTGCCTACAAGTACAGCAACACGAAACAGGATTTAATGTAACAGTAAACATGGGACCTCATTTCTGTGTACAAAAGTGTTTTAAGAAAGAAGCAAACATTAGAGCGTGTCCATCAAACTGATGAGTTGTGTCAGGCACAGAAGGCATTCCATTGTCCTCTGCTGGTCTTCCCGCCCTGGGTATCCCATTGTTTAAAAGAATATTTATTCTTGAATAGAATTATTCTTGAGATTATCCAGAATGAAAAGCTCCTAAGAGCTGATGCTATCCTGGAGAAGACCCTGCTCAGAACAGGAATTCAAAGAGCACCTTGTAAATAAGCAAACATTACAGAAGTTTTTCAAGTTCCTTTATGAACAGGCTTATTTAGAATTTTCATTACCATAACTAAGTTAAGAAAATACACTCCTGAAAGAAAAGTCATATTCCTGGAGCCGATACACTGGATCTTTTTCCCAAAGGGAAAAATAAAACTATTTTAAAATTTAGT